CTAATTTGGCAGGCTAGCAGAGACAAAAAGTGACAGCGCTTGAGCTGATACCCAGTTGGGGAAGAGGATGTGCTGTATGACCCTTAATGACAAAGAATCCCCAAATGCAAAAAACGCATGCCTACCACACTAAGAGCGCCACCTTGCGCCTAGGATCAACATAGCAGACGGTGAAATCCTCCCCCAACCAACAAGAAGAACTGAGGGCTTTCGTTATTATCAAGTTTAATCACAAATCTCAGAGTGCCGAGTCCATTGGCTCATAGTTTCCGTGCTTTTGTTTCTGTATGACTGCGCAAGGAAATGGAGCACAAATGAAGATATGTATGTCCACTCAACAGACATTCAGAGTTTAATGGGGAAAATGAGAATACTGTCACTCTTCTGTTGCACTCCAGGGCTAAATACCTTTCTAGGCCCTCCATTTTAAAATTACAAATAGTCAAATTGTGTTCTTTCCCAGTTGTTCGCTGAAAATAAGATTACACATTAAACAGAAACAAAGCTGTCACTATGAAGATCGAGAAGGGCTTGTGCCCAGCTTTCTGAAGCAAAGAATCGGATCTCACCGATATCACCTGCAGGAGCGGGGAACCTGCAGAGGTGCCAAGAAAGCAAGTTCTGATGGATCGCTCAGAAAACTCTGACATTAGCGGGAATTCTGCATGCTTTGGCCTGGCCGACTTCAACAGAAACAAGCAAATAGGAGCCAACATTTGGTCCTCGTCAAAGTTGTAATATACTTTCCAAAATCAAGCAGCTTTGCTGCTCAAGCAACAAGATCAACATTCAGCCCCTTTTGGCTCTAGGGGTGGGGAGGGGACAGGCCTCAGAACAAATCCCACACAAAAAAAGAAAATGTCAAAACTTCCCCCCGAAACTGAACATTCTTATGAGCTTAAGGGAGTAGAGCCTGATAGGGGTCACATTCTTCCTGTTCATTTTACAAAGAATTTGATAATTTTTCAATAAAATATATGCTATATGTGCTATAAAATATATTTGGGATTTGGAGCCATTACCCATGTGTTTTTTTAAAAAGTCTTTAGCTGTGTATTTAGAAGGAGAACAGAAAATCATTACAATGTGCAACTTCAAGAGAGAAGGCAGCCCGGGCTAAATTATTGAACAATGCGTTTTGCTTCCTTTCAGGAACACCATACTCTTTTGAAAGCTTAATGCTCGAACGCAGAAGATCAATTACCAGGACGTAGATGTTTTCAGTCCCCTACACCAAGTTACATTTTTGCTTCCATATCAAGCGTTTCGATTTTTTCCCTGCCTTTTCTGCTCAAGCCCCAAACACGGCTTCCACATCTGTGCATCTGATCCCACTGCAAGCTCTCCCCTGGCGGCACGCGATAAAACAACAGCCTGAACCAAAGGCAGACCACAGCTCCCCAGAAACCATTTATGTACTCACAGAGGACATTTACTGTGAGGTCTCACAGGACGAGACAGCCCATTAACCTATTCCCACTGCTGGGAGCAATAGAAATGAAAACTTTCAGTAAAGACAGGAGAGGAGCAGCCTCAAATGAGCTGAACAAGCTCCCCACATGCACAAATTATTGAAAACCTGTTAGAAACATGAATAAATGAATGAAGTCGTTCCTGTAATTAACAGTCATCAGAAGATGCTCAGCATTCAAACCAGGAATGGGGGCAGCATGATGTCCTAAGGGGTGTCCAGGGGTGGGGGGTTGAGGTCGCAGGCAAGTGTGTGCGTGTGCACACATGCCTGCTCAACAACGGCAGTCATTCAGCGAGGGCTTCCCTTGCCGTGCCCCCCCAAGCAGGGGGTCTGCCGACCAGTCAACATCCAGCAGGCAGTGCGGCCCTGAGGGGGAGGGGAGCACAGAGCAGCCGCCATCTACTCCCACTGAACAAACGGTGTCTGTGCTTCTGGGTTGATGTTCTGGAACTGTGCACATGTTTCACATCTCTAGAAATAGGATTTTTTTTTAAACACATGCATACACTCATTCTACTATAAAGCAATTTCTATATAGCATGCATGCACACAAACATATACACATACATATTATATACGCACACATACACACACACACACATACACATATTATATAGGAAAAACATACGCGAGGCTAAAAACAAAAAGAGACACAGCAACACTTAACCGCCCCCCCGATTTACACCTATATAAAAAAGCCAGTGTGTTCTGAGTAAGCATTTTTTGCACCAACCACACTCCCCATTTTGAAGTCACAAAGCCACACAGCGCTTCTTGGCACAGTTGATAACACCCATGCACCAGCAGGCCGTACCTCAACAGCCTTGCCAGCAATTCACAGAGATATTAAAACGCAGACACTCAACCGGGCCAGCGGCAGGATGATCCTCCCCGCCCAACCAGCGCTGCGCTCACTGACTGCACGCGAGGACCCCGCAAATCCTTAAGCCATTACTAAGCACACAGGCTCTAAGAGTTCCATTCGACACCATATAACACAATGGGGCCTGTCAAACCTCTGGCATCACACTACAGAGGACGCTGAGCAGCAAATGCGGAGGCGTGGCTGATGGGCATACAGGTGCACATCCTGCTTAAATGCCTCCTTCCTGAGTTTCGGCTGCAGATCCGCCAGAGACGTGACTGCATGAACCCAGAGGGGCGAGAGAAGTCGCAGATCAACACACCGGGGGCCTGCGACAGGGAGCTTATCTATGAGAATAAAGCACTCGGGGGGGGGGGGGGAGCAGTGTTCAACTGTTCAACACTAGATAGTCCCAAAAGCCCCCACTAACCAGGTGCCCAAGCCACCAGCAGCAGGTCCCTCTACGGCAGGGTTATTCAACTCACGGTCCTCGAGGTCCGAGTCCTGCTGGCTTTCCAGACTTCCTTTACCTGTCAGTCAGGTGTGAAGCCTCAGACCAATCAGAATCAGTAATTATTAAACAACTACCTGGGAGAACTGAAAACACGGCCAGGATTTGGAATCGAGGTCCAGAGTTGAAGAACCCTGCTCTACGGGATCCATGGAGAGCGGACACAGGTCACAGCCATCGACATCCAGCAGGCCCTGGCGACGGGAACACTGGCTTACAAGTGGAGCCGACTGGCCAAGGAACCAGAGCAGCATTCCACGTGACAGGTTTCCCCAGCTACTTCAAAATATCTGGTCAGACCAAAACCACAACACTGACGCTTACATTATTTTGCCCAAACAAGCTGGATACCGTTAACACTTTCTTCAATTTCCAAAATCCGTTTCCTGAAATAAGCTTTTAAAACGTATCTACGGCAACATACCACTCCATACTCAGGTTGACTGCAAACCCGTGACACACTATGGCAGCTCAAAAATGTATCATTTCCTGTAGTACATGGCATTCAGTTCAATGCACATGCCACTGAGGAACCGAAAGCTTAGAAGCGACATCTCAAGGCAAATAAACCGCTTACCATCAAGATCAGTGAGTAGACTGATGTACCAATGTTGAGCATTAAAGTCAGAGTGAGAGGTTATTCTGAAAATGAGACCTGCATAAACTGTCCAATTCATAAAAGAACTAATATGTGCACAAGTCAAAGATCACATTCACAGCTGCACAATCAGAAGCCTGTATTACCCACTGCATGTTACCATACATACTAAGGAACCGCAGTTTTAATATATTTACTGTCTCAGAATAGGAGTTTCTCCATGCCATTTTAAAGGGCATTGTTACACAAACATTCCCATTCATAGAAAGCGCTCATGTGTACAGACAGATATAGAGTGAGTTGAACCAGCATGTTTCCTGGGACTGACTGCACATGACGCAAACCACAGCACTGTCCTGCCTGCCAGGGAAACCGGCCAGCAGCCAAGGAGACATCCACACAAACTGTAAACCAGAAACTGTGCTGAGAACTCCCCCAAACACATGCCTGCAGAGACCATAACCTACAAGACCATCAGGCAGCAAAAACAAACAAACAAGCAGGACCCAGAACTGCCATCTAAAACACCTGAGGATCCTAAATACACAAGCACCCCTTTCGTCTGCTAAGGCGACATCAACTCCACCCTACTCAGCATGCTCTTTTCAGAATGACATCTGCACCATAAATCTCAACCCTAATGACAGGTCCCTCGCAGCCAAAGCATCAAACATTGGACACTGCTGATTGGAGGAACTCCGATGAGGGGCACCAGCAGCGAGCTGGCAAAGCAACATGACTCAGCAAGACCGAGATCAATAGCATGAGAAAAAGAAACTATTTTGAGGGCAATAAATCATAAGGGAAGCAGCTTTAAAAATAAAATTAAGACGGGGGCCATGAACAAGCTTCACTGCCTGCATTAAGTCTCAATGAGAGGCACTTTAAACACTATTTCCTTTCTGTGTGACAGAGATCAATCGGCAGCCGTCCCAGCTCCAGCTACCACCCCAGCCACGGCCAGAAAAACTGCTCGCTTACACAACTGTGGTTCTTTTATACTATTTAAAATACCCAGCAAGGCATATTTGGTGGTGGTATAAATCTATGACGAAGAGGAATTTATTTGCCGCTCTCTTTCCAAAACACAGTTGTATCTGACAGCCTGTTGCCCACTCGGGACCAGCATTAACCTTGCCCAACACCTTTCTGACAGCCCTAGACGTGTCGTCGCTACACAGATGCGCTGATCCGTCAACAGTTTCCGAGCCAATTGCACAAAAGACACACCCCTTTGTCACCACTGGTGTTTCTGCCCATTCATTTACCATAATGCGCACTTTGCTACTGCACTCGGGCACGGGTGTCATTCGGAAAAAGCACCTATATGAATTTAGCTGGCATAGAGACAGAGTGCAAGCACATCAAAGCACATGCAGCCATATAGCAAGGTCTTCCATACTCAAATACACTTTCATAAAAGCTAGGACAAGCTTGGCAGCAAGCTTAGATTTGAAGTGTTTTATAAAACTGGCTGTTGCTATTGCAGACAGTGATGGAATAGGTGGAGCCATGTATTTATTGTCACTGAGGTTTTAAAAGAAAGGCTTACCAATCTTCATCTTCCTCCATGGCGATGGGTATTCCAAACAGAGTGTTCACAGTGGGCACGCTTTCTGGGTTTGAGGCCTTCACAACATCTTTTCCCGGGGTGACAGGAGCCTGAGGTAGGACGTCGGACTTCCTCCGGCAGTCCTCCACCGGGCTGCTGGAGAAAGGACCCAAGGTGCGGGACTGTCCTGCGGAAGGAGGTGTCTGGGGCGGCAAGGCCAGCGGAGTGCTGGAGGCCACTGGTGAGCCCCCAGAGGGCTGGTACGGCCCAGTGGGCTTTGGCTGCTGTTGCTGCATGAGGCCAGCTGAATCCACCTGCTGAGCACTAGACGGGGTGACTTGTGGGGGCCCCTGGGCACCCGCCGGCAGAACCTGCGAGGAAGCGCCTGCGCCCACAGCCTGCAAAAGCGGGAGATGTGGTTGCCTGTATTCTGGCTGTCCGACAGGCTGGCCGGGAAGTTGATGGGCGTTTGGGAGCTGCCCCGCATATGTGAAGGCTTGCGTGACAGGTATGCTGGGGGACTTGTGGGTGTGCTGCATGGACACATTAAAGGAAGAACTATTGTGCCCTGGGGGGAGTAGATTCTGGGGTGGGATGGCGGCGTACGGAGGGGACTGGAATGCACCATGCGCCACGCTTCCAAAGCTGTACGTCTGTGGCTGCTGAGGTGGGTCTACCAGGTGCAACTGCACGGCAGCTGAGAAAGAGCCATCCGCACTAGAATCGTGGCCCGGTCCGAACAACACAGCCGATACCACCACAGACCCACCAGTGGCACCGAGCCCACTGTCCCTCTCCATGCTGTGATCCAAGGCACTCGTATGCCGGAGGCTGTCCATGGACCTACCAACGGCGCCCTCGGAATCTTTATCATAGTATTCCACACAAGTCCACCTGCCCCTTCGGAAGGGCTCCCCCGTACCATGATCGAGCTTGATGACCCTGAACCTCGAACTGCAACTTGTGGTAGTAGTAGATGCTGTGCTGGAAACGGCTGGGGCAGGAAGTGGCTGAGATGTGCTCGCTGCTACATTTGTAATCCCCGGTGCAGGGGCTGAAGCCGGCTGCTGCAGAAGCGCGGGGGGCTGGCCCGCCGGCCCTAGAGTCCCAGAAATCTGCTGACTAACGCTTCTAAAGCCGATACCCCCATTCAGGGAACCCGTCGCTGCGGGTAGCTGCCCATCTTGAGGTATATGTGATGGCATCGCGCCGGGGGCCTCAGTTTCCCCGACATTGTTCAACGTTTCTTCCGACGAGCTCCGGTCGCACGCCTCCGGTTCGAAATCGGTCCGGGACACGTCGAATATCTCTGAAGAAACCTCCTCGGTCCGTGATTCGTCCGGGTCGTCCAGATTCTCGGTATCTTCGATGATGATGCTGGCATCCACCTGGGCCGGTGTCACGCTGGTTATCTGGAAACAGCTCTTCTTCTTCGCCGGCATTTTGGACATCGCGAAAAGCGGCTTTAGTCGCTATGCACTTCGTCGCCTCCTGTGTGAAACCGGTATCGCCAAGTTCTTACCTTAGCGGCACATAAACTGTTGGACAGGTCTAAAGTATCCCAGTTTCACAGTTTTAGCTAACTGTTAGCGAGACGGTCGTGCGTCACCCTCCTTCCTCTTCCCTCCTGTTGCATTTTACCACTTAAAAGGAGCAAACCTTCCCAACTCTGGCGATGCAGCGTTTCCAGATATCACTTCGGCTCTCCGCGACCCCGGTTCTCCGCGCTCCGGCGCCGTCCCGCACAGGTAGTAAGTGTTCCGGGCTCCGGAGTTGCCACCAGACCGCTGTCGCAGATAAACCTCCTCAGCTGTAACGGCTACTTCACACTGAGGGAGGCCCGTCCCACTACCAATTACTACTCAATAGCTAGCGAGCTAGCTAACACCTCTTTTTTTTCTACCTGTGAACGCGCGTATACGACATCCTGCAGAACATGTCTGTCTTTTTCTTCTCAGAACGTCGACTTATTAAAAGACGGCAAACCACCGCCTTCCTTGAATGAGTCCTCTCCTTCCACTCACTCAAGGGAACCGAAATTTGCCAACTACCTCCCTCTCTCACTCGACAAGATGGCTATGTTGCGCGCACTGCATTCTGGGAGACCTGCGCCATGGCGTACGTAGGATATGTGGAGTACGCACGATTTAGAGAATACGGAGTACGGAAGGTGTAGAACGTTTCAAATTCCGGATTCGCGCCGCAGAGTGTCCATATTTTTGAGTAAGTGTATTCTCTGACGTCAAACGTAGACCAGCTCGTCTTGCAGAACAAAGCGGCCGATACTGGGTTTGGCAGTTATTTAGTGATTTAGCAATCGTATATTATAAACGTGAGGCAAGTATTTACTGATAACACCGAACATTACTATTTGCATGCCTGAATATATACACACCCATTCAAGGTTAAATGTGCAAACTACAAACGTTAAGCAATTTTTTCTCGCTGTTTGTTTTCATTTTCTGCCTGGACAATATAATCCAGTACCTTTAGGTTTTTTAGAAACTTATAAGAAGTTATTGACCATAAAATTCCTGAATTTGTCTGTATTAGTTTATTGGATTTGCACATTTGACATGGCGATATAAATTGCAAATTCCATTCCTCAGTTAAAATGTTTATGTATCATAAAACAATATCATTGACTACAAGTTAGTACGGATAAATTAATGTAATTAATTTCCGTTGTATCATTGTCAAGCAGATACATTTTATATCCCTTTAATAACTTTATCCGCGCAATGGAATCCACAAATCAAGTTTCCCTTTTTGTTCAAGCCCATCCCTAGAGTTAAAAATAATTAAATGTAATTTAAATCCATGAATGCAATGTTCATTCACAAATATGACTAGCAGCCACAATCATGCAAAAATATGTGACTTAAATATGAGTAATACTGGTGAAATGTTGCCTCCCCGCTGTTTTCTTAGTTACATTTGGCCTGAATATAATTTCTACTTGTGTTTACAGTCAGGCTTTGCATTAGCATTTGTTGTTGAATGAATCATGCACTCCTTTAGTTTACCTGCCCTGCATGCAAACCCGAGAGCTCGAGCTGCGTGTTTCCTCCTCGTCTTTTCTTATCTGTGTGAATGCATGCTTAAGGGGGTGAGTACACACTGTAGTACAATTTCTGTTCCATACTACTATCTGCACTTAGTGTTCCTAAATAAATGGGGAGCCATACTTATTCCTAAGTAGCAGTTGTTATTAAATTAAGAAAGTCCATTAGCAGATCAGTCTGCAATAGCCCAAAAACACTCACTAACCTACTTAACTTGGTTTAATCTTTCAGTCTGCCGGCTGTGATGATCCCATAAATGACTTAAACCTTCTGGTATCTCAGTCTTGAATTAATGGTCATGACAAGCAGAATGGGGCACACAGCTCGCCCTATCTCCATCAGCTATCACTCCTCTGACAAATTCCGCCCGTTTATGACTGGCCTTTCTCTGCGCCAGCTTTCTCTTCCCCATGTATATTTTCACCATCCACCATGGCTATTCCTGGTCATCCTGCGGCTCATCTGATTTGATCTGATCCTGAAATATACTGCAGGCGGTGTTTTCTTTCTCTCTCCTTAAGCCACACTCCTGATTACCAGCTGGAAGTGTCCTTAAATGGTCAGACTTGACCCTTGGAAGAGATGAAGCGCCGAATCGGGCAAATTGCATGGGTCAGGTTCAGTGGGATGAGAATGGTCACCATTATTACAGGATATCTCTTGGGGGGATAAAATCAGCAAAGTTCAAATTTCATGTCTATATGTGGTATTTAGGAAAAATGCATGGAATAATGAAAAAAAATATTTTTTTTCTTTTAAATTTATCCAGTAAATTTCATACAGTAAAAATATTTAACTACACGCACAGTGTTTTCAAACACCCCTTTGCACTTTTGTTTCACAGTTGTCACCAGCTTCAAGTCACTTTTAATAGTGATCTGAGTCCTTGGAAGACATCCGTGGAAATCTCCTCCAGCGGCGACCCCCTATAAAAACACAGTAAAAGGTTTTATTTGTACTCTGTCCAACTTTTAGCCAATTACTTGAGCCAAGAAGGCTGTATTGTTGAATGAGGATATGAGAATTTGTTGAACGAGTATTAAATGTCAGGCTTGAACAAGTACAATTGTTCGCTACACAGAACTAAAGCCCAAATTTCACTCACAGCTGCCAAGCGCATGAATTCATCAGTCAGTGTGATTTCCGTCTCCGCGTGTAGATGCAAAACTAGTATAGTTTTTGTAAAAGATTTATGTTACCTGCATGCAGCATGAGTTGAATTCTAAATGTTTTGTGTACTAGCAGCAAAATGGTATTAATAAAGTTTATGTGTTGCCCCACACCCCCCTCCCCACACACACACAAACACACACTACACAGATGGGTACAGACACAATGAGGATGAACTCTGCTGGAATCTCCCCCACCCCCAGACACACAGACACTGTGGGGATCTTTCTATAAGGCCATTCATGCTCTGAGTGCTAATTCATGCAAATCCTAAAATATTCAGTAAATTCAGAGCGTTTCATCCATTGGGGGGTGGGGGTTTACTGGGAATGGGGCTCCAGAATTGTTAGCCAAGAAGAACAGCCAGAGATAATTAACCCTTTGTGTCTACGCCTCCATTTCAGGATATTCCAATATGGCCGGACGATGGCCAACCTGGACCGGAAGATCTCCTGTGATGGGGCTCCTCAACAAGGTCTCTGTGGCCACGCCCACCACCACGGAGGGACATTCGTAACGGTGTCACTAAAGGTGATGTCTGAACTATATGCCTAGCACACTGTATCTCAGTAGCATCAGCCTTGGAACTGATTAGCGTGAACATGGATTACTGAGAAATACTTTCTAAATAGAATTAGGCTAATTTAAGAATTCCTTTATGTTCATTAGTTGAAATCAGGAGCTGTGATAAGAATGTAACGTCTTCATTTGTGATTTGGATTTTCCTGCATCTAAATAGTACCTGTGAACTTGCAGACATCACTGTACAACTTAACTATAAATGGAGTAAATGTATAAAAATCGATGTGTCTTTTTTTGTCATTTTTTCCCCATTCGCATTGTAGCTGCATATTCTGGCCAGGGTGCCCAAGGGTGCCTGGAGCCTGCCCAGGCAGGACTGGGCATAAGCGGAGGGGTACACCCTGGGCAGGATGCCAGTCTATCATACCACACATACACTACAAGCAATTTAGAGGTGTCAGTCGACCCACCACATATCTTTGGTCTATGGGTGGAAACTGGAGTACCTGGAGGAATGTAGTATGACATGGGGAGAACATGCAAACTCTACACAATGCAGGACTGAGGTTAGGGTTTGGAAGTGTTAGGCCGCAGTGACATCCTTAACTATACATAAAGATCTGGGAGAAACATTTATGAGTAATTTTTATAACTTTTTAAAAATATGTTCATATGAAAGCGGTAATTTTACAACTTGTAAAAATGACAGAATTGTGAGTGTGAATTTGTAACTTGGGAACGTGACAAAAGTATGCTTATTAATCTCAGTTTACATAAATTATTTGGCCCTAAGACATAAATATATTTCCCTGGGTGTATTTGATTAAGGTAAATACCCATATTTCTTTTAAATAGACATCATTTTTATGAGTGTCTGTCTTCAGGCTTTGGCTGACTAGATGAAAAATAAGAGCCAGGCGTTGCCTTCTTAGAAATGATGTTTGAAGAGAAACCGCAGTCAAATTCGGTATGTAAACTTCTGATTATTATTAGCTAACTTGTAAAGGCAACCTTAAAGACAGCCTTTGTTTCTTATAAAATAATCCAAACCGGTCAAAACCGTGGTTTGGACTTGTAATGTTCTTGCGAAAAGTAAACTACTTTCCAGGAGTCTCAGTAAATCACTCGAAAGAACAGTCAATAAAAATCTATTAAGAAAGCTTATAACCTCGGCTGTAAAATCCTACAAGTCAGCAACAAAAACACACTTAAAATACATTACTGACATATTTGTGATGATGCATCAGACATGTGAAATTATCATAAGGCCAATGGCAGGGAGCCACTTGGCTACTCGGTTAGAATTACAAAAAAAGATCGAGTTACCTCCCTAGCCCCCGTCAGCCACCCCCACACGCATATTTCCAGCTCTATCCCACCTCCCCTAAGACCATTTGGTGGTAGAAACAGCCTCACTGTTTATCCAAGAGGAATTCGTTCATGGGTCACTCGATGAAAGCACAGCGCCAGACGTGTGGCCGGTCTGCATTCTGCTGTCCCACTAAGTCGTGACTTATGGTCCCCCCAGGGGTGGGCAGTTTCACTCTCAGCCAATCCAAAAAGTGCCACAATCTGGGGCCCATGTGACTCCATCCAAAGGGTTGCACTAAGCCAGTGTTTCCCAGTCCGGTCCACATTTTTGCTCCCTCTCATCTCCCTGCCAAACAGTCCACATTTTTGCTCCCTCCCATCTCCCAGTAGTAAAAACATGGACAGTCTGTGGGTCCCCAAGGACCACATTGGTAAACACTGCACTAGGCCATCCATTGAAAGTCAGGCCTGTTTCTAGAACAGATTTTAGCCATGAAATATTTTACTCAAATGAAGCACTGTCTAATTTATGTGATGCATGCCAGTGATAGATTATTGTGGAAAAAAATCAGTTTGTGGGATTCATATTAGATTCACAAACTGGTGCATAAACTAGGTTATGTATTATGTCATTTATATCACTTTACCATTTTAACCCTTAATACACTTTCCGATCCCTTCTTCTAATAAAATAGGAAGTCTCAGTTTCTCAAAGGAACACTGAAGGGCATGGACAAAGGAAATGAGGATATGATTCTTCAAAGTATTATTCATAATTATATATCTGTGACAGACATTGTTTTCACCCTGCACGGTATCTGCTTATGCTGGTGACTGTGCTGTTCATGTTTCCTTTAATTGGTAAGAACACATCATATACTGTAATTTGAAACAATTTGCAATGCATCAGAGAAGAAAGGCCCAAACGCAATAGTGTTAACAACAGCAGGAATATATTTGAAGTTACGCGAAATTTCGAAGGCAACGTTGTTTACATGCACAGATTGCAGACTGCGTCTATCAGTCCATCATCACTTCGTCTGAATCCTTGTCTTTCTGCCGCTGACATCCTTGCAGAGGGGACCATCAGGTGTGTTTTGACTGCATATTGCGTAGAAAGGGCAAAGAAAAACGGAGGGGGGGGGGGGGGTGCAGCTCATTATGTGGGCTTAGTGTCCAGTGTGACTGAGCGGGACTCTCTGAGGACAGCCCGGGCTGTTTTCATAGCTGATTCTGTTTGTTTGCCCGAGTGGCCCTACGGAGGCTTTTGCTGGGAGCCTGGAGAATGAGGTTCTGTTTCGGTCCAGCTCCAGGCGCCTAGTGGGCCCAGCAGGTATGCACCGTTTCTGGGGCTGTGTAAATAGGGTCCGTTTGCCCAGGCAGTGATACCGAGCTCAATCCAGTCTACTCCAGAACGCTCTGGCCGGCCCTTCTGTGAAAGAAGCATAAATAAAGCGCCCTGAGTTTAACCCACAGACTCTCCCTCTCCGAAGACTGCAATTCAAGGCTTCAGCTTCGAAAGGCTAATTCACAAGCACTTAGACAAGGCTCAGGACTCTCCGTTTTAGTTTGAGGCATGGTGCAATACAGCTGCGTTGCTTTTTCATCTTCATCTATCCATGGGGGTAAAGGTCAGAATAGGAGTAATTGTTAGAGCATACACAAAGAGACGTAATTTAACGTTTGAGTTGTTCGTGTGAGAACGTTCCCGCACTAAAGTGGGAAACTATAAGAACCGGATCTGCTTATGCGCAGCGCCGAATGTCAGACAACGGTTTACGCAGTTCCGACAATGGATCAAACAGTGCGAATCGCCTTTCAATAAGTTCCTTGGCGAAAGGCCAGGATCCAAAGTATGCTGAGAAGCGGAGAAAAACAGCAGTTGACAGATGGCAGGAAACACAAAAGTCCGATTACGTAACGCAGGGCATGGCAACGCCATTTGTATATCACAACAAATCGGAGAAAGACAGCTGGCAAGGTATCAGGACTGCCGGACGGATCCATGTTCTGATTATCAAAAAGCCTGGATTCACTGGCATCATCACTCAATGCGAATATAATTCTCTCCATCTTTGTCATCAAGGAACAAAAAAATGCTGATCTGCAGGCAAAACAGAAAGCCGTCACTGTCAGGACGGGCCCTTTCAGAACTCCAGAGTTTAAATATTTATTATCTGGTTCATATGCTTTGTAATATACCTTCCTGTCCAAACCTGAGATGGCTCAGTGGGCTCAAACAGTGCATTTATTTTAGAGCTCCATGGCCTCACACCTTCAGGGCCATGAATCCCGCTTCCCTCTCTCTCTCATCCAAAAATATGTGGAAGGTTGAAACTGCATCTTTAAATTGCCCTTTGTGTGTATGAGTCCATACAATGAACAGGCAAACGTTCCAGGATGCTCTAAGCCAGTGTTTCCCTATTCGGTCCTTGGGGGACCCTCGGTCGGTCCACATTTTTGCTCCCTTCGAGCTCCCTGCCAGGCAGTCCATGTTTTTGCTCCCGCCCAGCTGCCTACTGGAAACTGGGCAAAAACATGGACTATTAGGACTTGAGCAAACAACCTGCTGGTAAGCCCTATGGCATGAGTCAGTTGCCATTTACACCAGTGAATGAGTAATTCAGTAAGTTCATGCTACATTTTATGCGCCCAAGTCCATTCATGTGACTGGCAGCAGGTAGGAGCAGCCAAGTAAACAAACAGACTGGGAATGTAAAATGTTGCATTATGCAACAGATTAAGAATTACATGAACCTTCTTTGCCACCTCTGAATTATATGTCATTTCTCTTTCTGATTTTAGTAGCCCAGCCCCCAAGTGGGTAAGCTGGCTAAAAGAGGACAGACGGAGCGTTCTCTGGCGGAAAAGGCACAGAGTAAGCAAAGATCGAATGTTGTGGAATTCTGGGCGCGGATGTGTTGAGGGCAGGAATCTATTGTTTGTATTGTTGTACTGGGGAACTGGCCTGTATTTACTTAAGTGTGAGGGTAAAAGTCAAGTGGGAGGGATCGGGTTTAAACCTAGCCCCCATGTTAAGCAGCACCCGTGAGAGACACGCGTTTGACTCGGGGGGGTCAGCTCCACAGTCCACACCAGCGCAGCAGTCATTAAAAAAAGATGAGCTTCTCTTTCGTGTTTGCAGCAATGTGGCTGGCACAAGACAAGTGTCTTCTGAAAGCATTTATTTCAAATCAAATGAAACAAAAGCATCCTCTGGGCATTGTTTAGAAACTGCGACTTTTGGAAAGAGACGAAAGCCGGAGTGAAGCGCCAAACCTGTTTTTAATTTCCCACTTATCAGGATTTTATCCGGCAAAGAGCAAATATCTGGCAGGGGTGTCGTGACGATACAGCTCTGTGATTTTACCCTGTTTACTTTGGATTCGCTTTTTTGTCATAGGTGTGGTTTGTTGTGTGAATCTTCTCCAGCATCTTTGTTCTGGAATCACTTCAGTGTTCTGGACCCACTACAGAATGTTCTCCACTGTTCATGTGGAAATTACTGGATGAGTTGCTAGAGTGGCGGCCATTTTTAAACTAAACTTGCATGTGTTTTGAGATGTTTGTTTCCCAACCCACTTCCAGGTCATAGATTAAGTATTCCTCAATCTCCATTCTGCTAATCCAAGTCTGGGACACAGTGTGGTTTGGAGTCTATCCCTGGAAGCACTGGGGATGCGGCTGAGGCCCATCGCCGTGGATAGGATGTCAGGCCACTATAGGACACATACATACTCACACTATTGGAGATTTAGAGATATGAATTAGCTCAACTGCATCTTTGGACTGTGGAAGGTAACCCAAGTATATCAAGGAAAGACACAGGACAGGGGAGAATATGCAACCTCCCCGCGGACAGAACGGCGGTGGGAGTTGAGCCCCAAACCCGAGAGATGAGATGCAACATTGCTACCTGCCGAGTCCTCACAACGTCCGTTTCTGGAAGTTTTGCTGTCTTCTCCCCT